AGGACAGTGATGCTAAAGAGCCGGAAGATGACAGTGATGCTAAAGAGGCGGAAGAGGACAGTGATGCTAAAGAGCCGGAAGAGGACAGTGATGCTAAAGAGCCGGAAGAGGACAGTGATGCTAAAGAGCCGGAAGAGGACAGTGATGCTAAAGAGCCGGAAGAGGACAGTGATGCTAAAGAGCCGGAAGAGGACAGTGATGCTAAAGAGCCGGAAGAGGACAGTGATGCTAAAGAGCAGGTAGAGGACAGTGATACTAAAGAGCCGGTAGAGGACAGTGATGTTATAGAGCCGGAAGAGGAAAGTGATGCTAAAGAGCCGGAAGAGGACAGTGACGCTATAGAGCCGGTAGAGGACAGTGATGCTCAAGAGCCGGAAGAGGACAGTGATGCTAAAGAGCCGGAAGAGGACAGTGATGTAGCTGAAGGTAATTATCGTCTTTTAATTTCCTTGGTTCTTTAGCAGTTTTATATAACAAAATATTACGTAAATGTTTATTTGGATGAAAGGCTCTAAAGGAACATTAAATCGATTTTGTAATGAAAAGAGCCTCTTGTCTTTTCAATTTGTATGTCTTCCATTCGTTAAATGTGTTTAATTGGTCTCTTTTAGACAATTCTGAATTAACAGCGAAGGACAGCACTGTATCAGATCCCCTTGCCTGGGGTTCACGCAGACGTTACAGGCGCAGAAGTAGCTTCCGCAGACGTTACAGGCGCAGAAGTAGCTTCCGCAGACGTTACAGGCGCAGATATAGCTTCCGCAGACGTTACAGGCGCAGAAGTAGCTTCCGCAGACGTTACAGGCGCAGAAGTAGCTTCCGCAGACGTTCTTGGCGAAGACGTTCTTGGCGCAGACGCAGGCGACACGGGAAGTAAGCCAGGAACTGACTAAGAAACTTCTTGTACTTGCACGTTTTGTTTTCCATTTTTATGTTTACATACATATCAAAGCAGTTGATATAGATAAACTGAGAAAAATAATGGGCTGTTTTTTGTCTTGTTTTCTGAAAAGGACCGTCAACCTTTTGCCTCGAACATTTGGCTATGCGGTAAACGCTTACTCATGTAGGGATGAATTGCATCTACTCGTTAAATGAAAGAAAAGTTAAAGCAAATTACTATAAGATTGTTTCAAAGAAGGACCGAGATACCAGAAGGGAAGGTAGCTTTGGCTCTCCCCAAAAAACTTAAATACCATAAGTAGAATTCTTTTGTGTTGTAAAATATGGCTGTTTTTCACATTTTTATCAGGGCTGCCCGCCCCCAAACAAAAAGTTGCATCTCGGTCTATGGTTTCGAAGGATGTAAACGAGAAGAAGTGGTCCTAAGATGCCTACTATACTTCATTAGCAGCTTCGAGGTAGGGGTTGAAGACCAGCTGAAGAAGTTTTTAGGCGTGGGGAGGGGGGAGGGTAGGGCAGCTACCAACAAAGTGGATGCAACACGGAAAATTTAATTTTAATGTCGGTTAATTTGGCATTTCCTTACCACCGAAAAAGTTGAATTTCTTGGGGTAGACTTTAGTTAGAAGAAATTTGCGATTGAATAGAGTACATAAGACAAGATTTGAGATATAAATTTGAAAAGAGGACAAAGAGCTGAGTTAATTTTAATGATGAAAATATTCTGAAATTTGAAAATTCTGTAATTTGCAAATCTTTGAAGAATTGTCGAATGCTAAACACATTCTTTTCATTTAAGACATAAGCTCTACGAATATCATCTGTGCACAAATAAATAGAAGCTACAACCCAATCTATATGAAATAATGTTAAATGAAAAGCAAATGTCGAATGTAATCCCTGGGCCAGTTTCGTCAACAGTGCATGCGCTGTTTGAAATATTGCGTTTACTGTTTAATTTTTTGTTTACTGCGACCGTTCGATATGAAATAGTTGAAACTTAATACAGGTTTGTTGATAATTGATTTTTTATGAAAATATGCAGCCAGTTTGTCACTCTGGAACTATTCAGAGCTAAGGAGTGCTCAGGTCGAGTTTTGAACTTTTAGGCCCCACAAGATACAAATTTCTTGATAACAAAAGCCAAGAAGAATATTTTCCGTCATTTACAAGCCTTTATTTCTGCTATACTTCAGCCAATTTCTAATACTCAAGACTCGATTAAACTTTCCATTATATAAATTTATCAACTTATTTCCTAATTTTCTAGAAACATGCTATATGAAAATTTACTGCTAGAAAATCAGATTTTGTCAAAGTTTACTCGATACGGAAAGCTTGCTCCTGTCTTTTTTCGTAAATACTTATGAAACATTAACGATGGTTTCTATTCACGTTGCTTATTAATAAAGGGCTTATCAAATTTGTCAAGCTTCCTAAAACCAATTCACAACAAGCTTTTTCTTCGTTGCTTCATTTCATTTCGCCTGTTTTGAATCACCGGCCATGCAAAAAGGATAGGAAAGCTGTAAAAGTTACGAAAGCAAAATCACTGGTGTCAAAAATCCAGTTTAGGCCAATTTTGAAAACGAGGGTCTCGATCACAACAATGCGCAGTTCTAAAACAAGGCTGCTGCTTTTTTTAAAAAAGTGGTACTTCTGTAACGATTTCGTTAAGTTCCTTTTGATCATTGAAGTTTTTGCGAGCAACCTTTGAATCGAAACATAAGTCGTAAGCTATAAGTTACATAGAATCTTGCTTTTGAATGCTTCCAGCATATTTTCTGCAACAACCAGAGCTCTGCAAAAATGGCACACAAGTGTAACCTGACAACTACAGGTCGCATCAATTTACGCTGCTTCAATTTAAAAAAATAGTCTTTTTGTGACTTTATTAATGTTTTTATGGTGTCTAGAAGTAAGAAAATAAAGCTTTTAAATAAAATTTTTATTTGATCTCACGATAAAGTAATCATGATAAAACAATGAAAAGCAATGCATCACTGTTTACTTAGTATCTATTACAAGTTTGGGCTAAAACTGGTTTGTTTGGGTTATGTATGCACCTGATATACCTGGAGTAGCTAAAATTTAGATAGCAATCTCTTCATGTTACTATGGGATGAATACTACTAGGCTTCTAGGTCTTTGTTGTAAAACACCAGCACCAAAGTTAGGAGAAATTATAAAGGCAGCAATAACGAATCTCTCAGAAGCTTCCATTGCTAAAATAGTATTTAAAAGCATTTAGAGAAAAGCATTTAGAGAGAAGCATTTAGAGAGAAGCATTTAGAGAAAAGCATTTAGAGAGAAGCATTTAGAGAGAAGCATTTAGAGAAAAGCATTTAGAGACAAGCATTTAGAGAAAAGCATTTATTGATTTTAGTCATGTCATGAGATTAGAAATGTTGTCAAGTGGTCTATTATAAAGCGTAAAAAACTGCAAGTGAAGCATTATAAAAGAAATTTTCAAAGGGGTGCAGATGAATTTTTGAATGTTATCCTTTTGACAACTGGGAAGAAGTTTCCTTCATTTTTTGAATTTTTTGTAATAGGATGAGGGGCTAAAAATAAATCAATTTTTTATATCTTATGCCTCAAGATGAAATGGCATTGAAATTAATTTTATTTTTACTACCTTGCTTCTGAAGATAGCTTTTAGAGCACCGTGAATCTATGATTATGGTGCAGTGATCTGGTCCGTCATCTCGATGCGAAAGAATCTCATCCTACCTGTGCCTAGAATAACAGATTTCTGTCGACTCCCCCCGCTCTAAGAATCCGTTTACACTAGCACGGATCCAAATGGATCCGTACACAAATTAGAACAGATAGGCTTTTCGTTTACACTAGACCTGCCGGATCCGTAATCATTTGTGTCTGCTATCTGGACCCGTGTGGAATCGCTTTCCAAGGTGTACTCACTTGGATCCGTTCCCGTCTAGGTCTATTGTAAACGGCTGGAGCCAAACCAAACCAAGCACACTTCGGATACGAGGCATTAAACTTTTTCTTTAAAAGGCCAATTGTTGTCGCAAAAACCTTGAATTCCATAAATCAGAGAGATGGATGAGCAACACAAACAGAAAGTTCTCCTTGTGTTTACAATGTTAGTTTCATGTTTTAATTTCTGGCTGCAGTATATTGCTTTTCTATGTGCCCAACACAGGATTCATCACTTGAGACTAGCTTTGATTATATCTAAACAAAGCAACATGGGACTAGTAGCCGCCCAGAAGGGGAACTTGGCACACAGACATACGGGGGTCAAATGTTTGCCAAAAGTGATATTTTTGGGTTAAATATTTGTCAGAAATGATATTTTTGGGTCCTGCGAAAATAGTAGATACAGTTCTGATATTTCTAGGTATCAAATTTAGAAACACAGATATTTTTAGGTATTCGTGAGATTTCCATATCCGAATCAAATGTATTGTTCATGGATCTAATTCGCTGAGGTTTATTTTAGCCACTTCAAGTCACGTCGGGAGTCATGTTACCATACTCTTTGGAAGTTTTAATGCTACTGTTGTACTCACTGTAAACTTTATATGACACAAAATATGCTAGAGAAGTCAAACGATGCCTTACCAAGGGACTGAAAACATCAAGGACACCTGCAGGACTAGGACAACAGGGGCAATCGCCCCCTGCCCTCTGCCAACAGATGCAGTGGGGGCAAGATGTGCCCTTCTAATTGAAGTTATTCTCAGTTTCAATTGTAATTGCAACTGTACTATTTACGGCTTTTTTGAATTGCAGATCATATAAATTACAGCTATGTCATATTATCTCACCCAAAATTCCAATTTGTGATATTTTTGGATTTAAGATATAAGTAAAACTGATATTTTTGGGTCTTATCGAAAATGAGCTAATATTTTTGGGTGGCCTTTATATTTCTTGGACTTACCCCCACCCCCCCCCGTATGTCTATGTGCAGAGTGCCCCCCCCGGAGAGTAGCGAAACATGGATCATGGATCGTTCCA